CAGCAGGCAGAGGGGAATCTGGAGAAGGCTCCCGCCCTCCCTATTCCTGTAGGCTCCTTTCTTATTTCCAACACGACCATTTTCTGACATGGGCACTGCCACTGAACCACCCATAGCCTCAGAGGGATGATTCTTAAAGAGATTCTTAAAGAGGTGCCAAGCTAAACTCTGAGCTTTTTCTGGGTGAGTTCCTGAAGTCCTGGCAGCTAAATCAATCAAGTTGCCCCTGTTCACCTGTCCCATGCTCCTCTCAGGCTGGTCCTCCCACCAAGGGTGGACGATCATGGGGAGCAGGGCTCACTGAAAGCCCTTTGGAGAGTTGTTTCCTCAGTGCCCATTGTATGAGCCCAAGCCTCTGGGATTCAGGTTGCTTTGGGTCAGTGCCAGTTAAGCTTTTCTGGGGAGGTGATAGAATCTAGCTGTCCTGTAGGTTTCTAGTCTCAAAGACCTTAAAATAGATGCCCTGTGGCTACTGCCTCCCTCAGCCGGGGGTGGGGGGGAACAATCAGGGGGAGACTGTGTTATCTAGAGTCCTTGCATGGACTGCTTCCTGTGTCCTGCCACCCACTGCAGATCCCCGCAGAGAGAATGTTAATGAGCACTTAATGACAGCCACAGATGCTTCTAGAAAGGATGAGAATTGGGCTAAAAGATAAGTAGGTGGGAGGAAATGAAAGTAGCAAACTATTTATAAAGTACTCCTGGAGTCATTTATGGAGACATTTAATAGCCATGTATTGAGTACTTGCTGTATACAGTAAGTCTGGAATGAACCTCACTCCAGAGATGAGAATGGGCTATGCAGCTATAAAGCTTGGCTTCTAACCTTAGGGAGTTCAAAGTCTGCAATTCCAGCAAAAATGAAGTTCTTACAAGGCACTCTGCCCCAGGAGAAACCAAGAAAGTGCACAGAAAATAGCAGCTGACTCTTCCTAAATGAGTCAGAGGAAGTGTTTGACCTGAAAAATGGCTAAGCACCAATGTGTTACACAAGGGGAGAGGGTACCCACCAAGAAGGAACAGGGTGGGAAAAGACCGTGAGTCTTTAAGCAGCGTGCAGTTTAAGTCGGGGATTAAAATTCAGTTGCAAAATAAGTGAAATTCTGTCATTTGCGCCAACGGGGATGAGTCTGAAGACTAAATGAAGTAATGAAGTAAGTCAGGCATGGAAAGGCAGATTCCATATCACATGTTCTCATTACACATGGATGTTGAAAGGACTGATCTGATAGAAGGAAAGAACGGAAAAGAATAGTGTTTGTCAGAGCCTGGGAAGATGGGGAGGAGGTGGATGAAGAGGAGAAAAAGGAGGAGGAGGAAGAGGAAGAGGAGGAGAAGGAGGAAGAGGAGGAGGAGAAAGAGGAAAAACAATTAGTTGTGTATTTTAAAGTAAATGATAGAGAGTACTTTGAATGTTTCCAAAACAAGGAAATGGTCAGCATTTGAGATGACAGATAGGCCAGTCAGCCTGGCCTGATCATTGTATATCATATACGCAGGTTAGAATACCACAAAGTACCCTATGAATATATATGATTACCTCTCAGCTAAAAATAAAAAAATAGACCAGCTTTATCATCTTTGAGAATAGGGTTTGTGGAAGGCTAGAAATGGGATACCAGGTCACCTTGTTCTATGTCCTGGGATGCCAGTGCTGTGTGTTGGGTTGCTTGTTGGATAATTAAGGATTGGATAGGCATTATCAGATTTTTGTTTCCTGACGACCACTTAATAATTACATGGAATGTGACATAGAAAGGAGGTAAGGACGTCCCCAGAGGCTCTCATACCTTGTAAGCAAGACATGAGCAAAATGCAAAGCTGAGCCATCACTGGAAGAGATTAGGGGCCTGTAAGGATGATGAGGGAACATTACAGAATGAAAGGTTAAGAGACCACAGGACTGTGGACTTCCTCTCTTACTGTTTGAAACACTAGGAATGCCAGTTGACCCCTTTGCGGGATGGGAGCAACTCAAGCCACACCCTCCACACAGGATCCCTGGGGATAAAAATCAGATGGAATGTGAAAGTCCTCATTATCTTATGAGATACTATGTGAGTATTGGAGTGATTATTAATACCGTTCTAGTAAACAATAGACATAACATTGCTCCAGATTTGCTTTTCGCTGTAATGTGAGCATCAACACACCTATGCTTGCACTCTCCCTTCATGTGCCAGGATGTCAGAAATCACCAGATTCCTGGTTCCATCACTGCAGACCTATTGGTTTGAACCAGTAACAGAAGGCTCAGCTGTGCCAATAATCTCCAGTACTGTGATGCTCTCCACAGAACCGTACATTAATGGTGGCAATGCTAAAAAAAAAAAAAAAAAATCTGAAATGGAGATAACACCCACCCCCATAAGATGATTAACGTCAACTTGACAGACTCTGTGGTCACCGAGGAGACAAGCCTTTTGGGCATGCCTCCTAGGGATTATCTAGATTAGGTTAATTGAGTTGGGAAAACCTCCTTGACTGTGGAGGTGGCACTGTCTCATGGGCTGAGGTCCTAGATTGAATGAAAAAAGAAGGCAAGAAGAGAGACTGCATTCACCGCTCTCTGCTTCTTGACCGTAGATTCAGTGTGACCAGCTACAGCCTCCACGTCCTGCTACCATGACTTTTCTACCATAATGGACTGTAACCTCAACTGTGAGCCTAAATAAGCCCTTCCTCCCTCAAGTTGCTTCTTGTCAGGTATTGTATCACAGCAATGGAAAAGTAATCAATACACCCCAAGAAGCAGATGTCTTCTACCTATCCAAAGCCAGGCCATCAGGCGTGGATACACATGGTATACATACCATAAGATCCTTGCTCTTGTTGACCTTGTGTAGGAAGAAAGGACACACTGGGCACTTAGATGACAAGACAGAGAGAAAGATGTGTTTCCTTTTCTAGAAGGGGAACGCTCACTTGTAAGGTGACATTAGTGAAGAAGCTCTCCATTGCGTTTCTGTCATTCATTTTTGCTTTTCCTCTCCCAAAGAGGGTGTTCATATGGCACTACCGTGTCTGTTACGCCAACAGGAGGAAGTGCTGTGCTGAGTGGCTGGGTTCAAAGAAGCAACCCACTTGATGGTGATGCCCTCATTATACAGCTGTGGATGCTATGCTGAGAGAAAGGAAGTGGCATGGCATTGGACACTCAGACCAGTGGCTATGGGTGTGTCTCTGAGGTAGGAAGAAATCTACCTAGCCAGCCAGCACAGCCCTTCCTAACGCTTGCAGCTACCTGCCCTTCAAAGCAGGGCTTCTTAAATTTTTCTACTTATGATCCCTTTTCCCTTGAGAAAGTTTTATACCATCTCAGATACATAGAGCTATGAAATAGATATACAAACCAAACATTTATTGATGATAAGTCATAAATTGTTTTAAAAAATTATTTGATATGCATAGTTTTTCACTTTCATTGCACCTGAAAGCAAATTTACATACTAACAAGATGAGAGTGTTTGCTTTTACATAAAGAATTAAGTCTTGGTGAATATTTGACACTGTAGGGTGTAGAGAACCTTCAACATTTTTCAGAGCTGTTTAACATTTTCATTTTGCGATCATTATTGCTTATTATGTTGCTTTCCCATAAATGCATAATACAAAATAGCAGAAATATTTTTAGGGCCGTTTCCAGAATTGTTGAAAATTCTGTCCTAATCTCAATCCAAAACCCATTTAACAATGTTAATGAAACCCTAGTTGGCAACTCAAACGAAAAAATAAATAAACCAAACATTTTAATTCAGTCCAAAGATAAACTAATTTGATTCTTACATACTGAGGAATAGTGATAGAAAAAAATATTAAAAGTCTTTGTTTTCTGTAATTGAAGCATTATTTTTCTACAACAAGCAGAAGACGTTTTATGTGCTGTGAACACACTGCAATTTTATAACACACAGTTGTCTTGAATCTGAACTGAGGTGTTTCAGGCAGCAATTGTTGGTCACACGTAATGTAACGGCAAACATGGTACAAAATGTGCATGTGGCGTGCTCAGAACCAGCAGTGATGCGGTATGGGCCAGTGTTGACAGAAACACCTTGGATTTGTTGTGTTTGATCTTGAATTGATATTTGGCTGTTGTACATCCAGAATCTTTTTACTGTTGCCAAATTTTTGTGAAACCCACATTCAGTTAGGTAACCTGAGTTTACAAAGTTGGGTCTTTGTGATTCTAAGGGGAATTTGCTACACAAGACTTGCCAGGAAAGGGCAGAGCCCAGTGTTAGGTGGGGTTGATCACGTGAGTAGCTCAGTTCTTCACATGACCTCCTTCTTACCATGCAATTTTGAAATGACCTTTAATTTTTTCTTGAGATAACATTTATATAACGTAAAGTTAATTATTTTAAACTATGAAACTCAATGGTACTGAGCACAGTCACAATGTCGTACAGTCAGGCCCTATGCCAAAGTTACTGTTACACATGCAACATACACATAAACATGCACATATATGGTGCACTGAGTCCATTTAGTGGTCCTCTTGTATCTGTGTGTTTAGGGCTGACCTCTTGGGATTGGGTCAGGGATCTCATTCCTGGAGAAATCTCCCTCTGTCAGCATCCATTGGCTGCCTGTAGCTCTTCATCTAGAGGTAGGACCCTGTGAGATTTCAGCCATCCACATTGGCATGACAACTAGTGGTGTCATTGCAAAGGTCTGGTTAGACTACACACTGGAGATTTCATGGTGCAGCTTCTCTGTCACATCTGGAATGCATTATCTAGCAGTTTTAAATGGCTCTCTTCTCATTTAGATGTTATGTTCAAGTTTTGTTTTTCTTTTTTGGAGCTGAGGACCGAACCCAGGGCCTTGCACTTGCTAGGCAAGCTCTCTATCACTGAGCTAAATCCCCAACCCCTCAAAAATTTTTTTATAAGTACATTCTATTGGCTCCCTTTTCACAGTCTTGATGATGTTATTTGTACACAGGAGCTTTTAGTTTGTTTTTTTTTTTTTTTGTCTGTTTGTTTTTTTACAAAACCACTCAGACTGTGTTCCCTCCCTCTAAGTCCTCCAAATGAAGAGAAGAGTGATCATCAATGGCAAAAGGCAGTTGCAAAAAAAAGCAACACCAAGAGCCAGCTTCATGCTCATGAGGGAGCACTATGTCTCATCCTTGTGGTTTCTATACTCTACACAGAGAAACTTCTCTAGCTATGAGCTATAGAAATGATCCCTTAGTTTTGATGAAGTCCACGCTACCTATTTTTACTTTGTTGTTTAGACAGTTAACATCATAGCTAAGAACCCATCGATTCTGAGGATTTAGCACCATGTTTCCTCTTAAGTATTTTAGAATACTAGCTTTAATGTCTCTAATTCTCTCTTCCTATCTCCTTAAAACAAAAATATTTCTTTTAAGGTTTACTGTAGGTGTTAAATAAAGTAGACGTAAGGCCTATAGCATGTGACTGGATACCTGGTATGTACTTCTATTAATTATATTCTTGTTTTACTACTCTAAGGGAAAAAACTTCTCCTAAGAAGAGGATAGCCTCTTTGTATATCTTAAAACATTTGTAAGGCTTCCAGAAATGAAGACCCAGACACAGAAGCACCATAAACTAGTGACTGAGCAGTGGAGCACAATTAAGAATAGACAAAGAAACAAGATAGAGCTTCAGGAGTGAAGTACAGAGATGGACGCTTCCAGATGGTTTGCCAAAGAGCTTTCAGTATTTCATGTTCCCACCAGCACAAAGTCTCTCTTTGCTCCATTTTCTCCTTTCTGTAAATGAGGCAGTAATTCAACTGCATGTGGGAAATACCAGAGGGAAAGCCAAGTCCTCTGCGACCCCTGTCCCAGGACCCTTAACCACGGCCACCATCACACCTGCTCCTCCTCAGAAATGCAATGAATTGGAGAAGCTGAACTGCTCCACAAACAAGGATCAGAGACAAGGCTAGTTTTTCCAAACATTACTCGATATTCTTCAGTATATATATTTATATTATGTGTGTGTGTGCACGCACGGGGGCCATGACACACACGTGGCGGTCAGAGGACAAGTTGCAGGGCTCAGTTATCACCTTTCACTATCTGGGTTCCCTTGGATCGAACTAGGTCATCGGGATTGGCAGCAAGTTCCTTTACTCACTGAGCCATCTCACAAACCCAAATATTCTTCATATTAATTCTCAGAGCAAATTTTCTGCTATGCTGTCAGGCAAAGCCCCACAGTGAAGTGGTAATTGATACCAGAAAGGCCTTCATGAATAGTTATGCAATTGAATTTCTGCCTCATTTAAAGAAAGGAGGAGGTAGAACAAAAAGATACTTTGTGCTGGTGTTAATGTAAAATAGTGAAAGATCTTTGGTAAACAGTCTGGAAGTGTCTTATATCTATAAATATGTAACTACAACAGAAGTCAGCCATTGCACCTCTAGGAATTTACTCAGGCTAATAAAAATTTCTGCTTACATAAAAGCCTGCACAAAAATGCAAATTTATGACCTTATCAAATTAGAAACAACCCAGATGTTCATCAACAGACGAATGAATGCATAGACTGTGGTATAGCCATAAAATAGAATACTACTCAGCAGTAAAGCAGGAATACTAATATACAGAATAAAATGGAAGAATCTCAAGTTCATTATGCTAAATGAAAGAATCCAGATTTAACACACTGAATAATGTATCATTTTGTTCAGATGATATACAGAAAAGGATAAAGGCCAACAGGACCTGAGTCTAGAGAAAGACTGCCAATGCCGCTTTACACTGCATGAAGAGACAAGTGTCTAAACCCTAGGAAACAGCAGCGACATGCTCTTCTTCATGGCAGATCACTTGCTTTCCTGAAGTTGCTACATTTTAGGAGGGTCTTTGTTAAGCTCAAGAAATCATCAAACAGAAAACCACAAGTCTGAAAATAATGGTCACTAGCTGTGGTAACAATGAACTAATTTTGTTTAGATTAGAAAAAAGAATTTTAAAGTAAGAAACACAGCTCTCAGGATCTGAAGGATCGCTGTGAATATGATGGCAGGTTCTAAACAATGCACAGCATTCTAGCCTCCTGGCCAGGAGGCAGCCCAGTGGGTTTGCTCAGAGTGGACTCCTCAGTAAGCAGAGATAACATCCACCAACACTGAAATCATCCTACATATTGCTCTGTAATTCTGCATTGTTTCTGTTCTGAAGGGTCTTCAAAATTCCAAATACTGTAAGATTTTCATTTCCATAAAGCAGTGATGCACCACCTAAAGCACAGGTTGGGATTCAGGATTGGGGGTCTAGTTCAGGTAGTGGAGTGTTTGCCCAGCATGCATAAAACCCTGGGTTTAATCCCAAGCACTGTAAAGGAGGGGTGGGGAAGGTTAAGTTCTAAAGTAAATAAATCCTGTAGTCTGCATCTGAAATGTCCCTGTGGCACATATGTGAAGCCTCAGTGACTAGCTTGAAACTCTTAGGAAGAGGTGGGACTTTAAGAAGTAGAGCCTAATGGGCTTGAGGGACCCTGATCTCTTTCTATCTGTCTCCCTTGCTACCTTGATGAGAGGTGAGGGCATCAGCTACCACATACCCACCATGATGTGCTACCTTGTCACAGGCCAAGAAGCAGTAGGCCAAGTGACTACGGACTGAAATCTTCAAAACTGACCCAAAGTAAGACTTTCCTCCTTATAAGCCGATTATCTCTGGTATTTTATTTCAGTAACAGAAAGCTGAGTAACACTGTGTATAAGGCCAATTGTTCTCGAGTGTGCTATAGGAAGGGTTACAGTGAGGATCAACGTGGAACATGACTCTGGAGCAAACTGTTCTTTCTTTTCATTCGTGAAGAGCCGCAGGCAGAATGCCCTGCACCCGGTCGTTGTGTTCACAGCCTTGTGGTGAGATGACAAGCAAGGAAGCTGCTGACCGGCTTCTTTCTGAGGCCTCTCTCCAGGGCATTGCCTTGAGGATGGAGTGATGGCAGGGTGAAAGCATCCCCCGCACGCTGGAGTTTCTTCTTTTCACTCATCCGTATGAACGGATTTGAACAAATCAAAGCCAATCGACCACTTGGCCTCCTCACAGTGAATGAGGAGGTTAGGATAAGCCCAGTGCTCTAGTTTTCTTACTGTAGCTGTGCTACAACACTGACCAAAGTCAACTTGGGGAAAGAAAAGGGTTTATTACATCTTACAGGTCATAGTGCATCATCAAGGGAAGCCAGGGCAAACGTGGAAGCTGGAACCTTGAGGCAGGAACAGAAACAGAGACCATGGAGGAATGCTGCTTATGGGCTTGCTTCCCCTGGCTTTCTCAGCTACCTTTCTTATCCAGCCCAGACCCTCCTGCCCAGAAACTGCAGGGCACTTCGTGGGCTGGACTCTACTCCAGTAACTAGCAGTCAAGATAATGTCCCACAGAGAAGCCCACAGGCCAGCCTGATGGAGTCAATTTCTCAATTGAGACACCCTCTTGTCGGGTGTGTCAAGTTGACAGCCAAGATTAGGTAGCACACGCAGAGACTAATTAACCAGTCCCAGAACCCAGGACGATGGTAAAAGAAACCACTTCTTTTGCTATTTAGTAAGAAAGGTGAAGCTGTGCAGTGTTAGCGTGACTGACACCGGTGCTAAGCACGTAACCCTGTGTGCGCCACCGCCCCCCCCAACCCCCATGTGCTGCTTTCAGTTTTCAGACCCTTCCTTGGCCCTCCCTATCGAACTTCCTATGGTTCTTACGTGAAATTGCAACCATTTCTGAGTCAAGGTTTTCAAATCATAAAGGAAGTATTTGTTTGAAGTTTAAAGTCATGATGAAGAGACAAAGTTTGTTTTGGGGTGCAGAAGACTGAAAAAACATTGATACTACTTTATGGAGCCCAGCCTACTCTGAATTTAATTTATTTATCTAGTGTAACAATTTAATTATCTGGTGTAACAAACCAGGTGTCTGTCATGCCCGGGTACTTTTATAGAGCTTTGACAACAGGGATTTAATTAAGGTAGCCAATCCGAAAACAACCTTACAAGTCAGACAGTCTCATTCTGGAGCATTCATCATAAAAAAATTATCACTTAAGAGTGATGTTATTAGATCAAGTTTATTACCCTATTTCTAAATGGACCAAACCTTATTTCGGATGGTGATGCAGCAATTTTAGTTATTTTTGTTTAATTAAATTGTGGTTTGTACCAGAAAGAGCACTTAACTATTAAAACAAATAACAACAAAACATGCCAATATTTATTCACACGCAGAAAAGCAAACTTTAAAAGCTTTGAAATGAGGGCCTGGAGAGATGGCTCAGTGGTTAAGAGCACTGGTTGCTCTTGAAAAGGACCCAGGTTCCATTCCCAGAATCCACATGGTAGCTAACAATCACTTGTAACTTCAGTTCCAGGGGATCTGACACCCTCTCTGACCTCCACGGGCATTGCACAACACAAGTGCACTTACATATATGTGGGCAGTACACACATACACATAAAATAAAAATAGTAAATAAAATAAAAAGAAATCCATATATATCATATATATTGATCAAATGTACATCCCGTTCCCTCCCCTCCAATCCCTACCTTGTCCCCCACCACTTTTCCCTACCAACTTCATGTGCTCTATTTTTAAACCCACTGAGTCCACTTAGTGCTGCCTGTGTGTGTGAGGTTTGATTCCCAGCACCCACAGGGCACCTAACAACCATCTATAACTCCAGTTCCAGGGGATCTAACACCCTCTTCTGACTTCTTCAGGTACTGCACAACATGGGTACACTCACATACATGCGGGCAATACACTCATACACATAAAAATAACAAATAAAATATTTTAAAAAATACATTAAGGGATTTGGATGTTGGTGGCACATGCCTTTGATCTCAGCACTTGGGAGGCAGAGGTTCCCAGCACCCACATGTCATGGCAGCTAACAACCATCTGTAACTCTAGTTCCAGAGGATCAGACATCCTCTTCTGATTTCCAAGGGCATTGCACAACACGGGTGCACCTACCTACTTGTAGGCAAAACACTCATACACATACAATAAAAATAACAAAAAAGCTAGAATGATTTTAAATACCAGTTGACTGAGATTTTCATTATGTATACATAATGAAATAATGTGTTTCATTAAAACACAGTATATATTTGCACGTATGTATAGATACACCACATGTTATCTATAATGTGTAAAATGCAAACTTCCAACTCCATACATGATTCAGTAGTTTGCTCAGGATCACACAGGCTGATTAGAGT